AACCATGGCAATGAAATGATATACGATAAAATGAATGTAAAACTAAAGTTCTCTTATGTAAACTATCATATAATTCACAATAAAACATTTTTTTTTTAAATGTATGTTTTAAGCTGTTTGATATTTCTGATGATTAAAATAAAAAGAAATGTAGCACTTTGGGACAAGAGAATCAAAATCACCTATCACGCCACAATCATTTATTTTTCATGACTTGAGAACATATATATCATAGATAGCAAATATTTTTAAATTATTTAAAAATCTATATTAATGTAAGTTTTTAAAACTCTAGTGAAAGGAACTCTTGAATTGAGGGGAGAATGATTCCAAATTTGAAAACCACTCATCTTGTTGGGTGTACCATAATTTATTTAGTCACTCTTCTGTTTTGGCATCTAGGTTGCTTTGGAATTTTACTATTAAAAGTAATGTGATAAGATATTTCATATATAACCTTTTCTAGGGTGGAAATTTTGGATCAGTTGATATGAATTGATTTAAGGCTCTTTAAATATCATTGTCAAGTTTCATTCCAAAATTTGTTTCCTTGCAAGGGATTGTCTTTTAAACTGATTATTAAAAAAAGAAAGAAAAGAACAAGTATTAAAATTTCCTTCATTAACTGATGTCATGAAACCTTAAAATGTATACCAACATATTCATCTGGTAGTTTATATTACTAGAAGGGTTAACTCACCATTTTCTTGCTTCTAGTTGATTCAGAGTCTTGGTCTGAGCCTGGATCTCATTTAGAAAGACTGATGAATTTATAGAGATAATAAGTCCCAGAACCCATTGTTGTATCTAGGTGTTTTAATAACCACGATTTGAACTTATCTACTATGACCTATTTTAATACTTAAATTAAAAAAGACTTATCCATTACCGTAAGAAAAACACCAAGCAATTGCTTTGTTGTTGTTATTAGATGCCATTGAGTCGGTACCGACCCATAGCGACCCTATGCACAGCAGAACGAAACACTGCCCGATCCTGGGCCAACTACAATACTGTTGCCATACTTGAGTCCATCGATGCTGCCAGTTGGCCAATCCATTTCGTTGGGGTCTTCTGCTCTGACCCTTCACCTTACCAAACATGATATCCTTCTCCAGTGACTGGCCCCTCCTGACAATATGTCCAAAGTTTGAGAGACTTCTTGGCCTCCAAGAAGCATTCTGGCTGAACTTCTTCTAAAACCAATCTATTGGTTCTTTTGGCAGCCCATGGCACTTTCAATATTCTCCTCCAACACCATAACTCAAAAGCATCAAATCTTTTACGGTCTTCCTTATTCACTGTCCAGGTTTTGCATGCATATGAGGTTACTTGCCCCTTAATAAAGTTTTTAAATGAGAAAGTGCCATTTTAGGACCTTCTAAATATTCCAAATTCAGGAGACTGTTTTGCTATATGCCAGTAAAAACCTCAGGATTTCATTTGAGCTGACCCTCTACTCCAGTTATCTGTAAGGGCATAATGTACTCCTGTGTTCTTTGTAAACTCTGAGTCATCATACAGATGTAATATGGTTTATATTTTTAATATTGATGATCAGTTACCATTATTTGTTTTCTTTTTCAATGTTTTATAACAGTATTATGGATTAATCTTTTGTATAAAAAGTTGTTATTTATATTTATTCTCTTTTCATTGTTAGTCAAAGATAAGGTTTTCATGGGGAAGTGAAGGCAAGTATTTTGGTTGTTTGCTTTTGGCTTGAGTACCCATTAATGCAGATTATGCACTTTATTGGGCAATCATGCCAATTAAGGGCAACCCAGAGTTCTGGAAACTTGCCAACCTAGACTGCCAGTCAACATTTCAGAGCAGTGCCACTAGATTGAAGAAGGGAATGAGACACATTTCTATATATTTCTTCAGCATGTCCATATGGTCAAATGACTACATAAAAAGGGACTGTCCTTTCAAGGATGGCTGGTCTTCCCTTCGATGGATGTACATTTTGATTTTGTGGTGGTTGAGTGGATCGGATAGCTACTTCGGTGCTGGTCTTGTTACCATTAAGAAGCTGGCCAGGGGCCAGGCACAGAGAGACACAAGTATAGTTCAGTACAAGTTCTCCCTTCCATTATGGCAGCACTTTGTCTAGTAAACAACCCCAGAAGGTAGGGGGTTTTGCTTTATTGTGTTTTAATGGAAAAAAAAAAAAAAAGAAAGCAGTAAAAAGAATTGATTTTGTTTCTTAGGTTTCATGGCATGATCTCCAGAGAAGCAGCAGATCAGCTCTTGAGTGTGGCTGAGGGCAGCTACCTTATCCGGGAGAGCCAGCGTCAGCTAGGAACCTACACTTTGGCTTTAAGGTTGGTCATGGGCCTGTAATTATAACTGTGCTTCATTTAAAACCCTCCTAACAGAGGGCTTTAAATTTTAAAAACATCCACCTTCTAATTGAATTGGTTCTTGTTTTCTTGGGGCCTAATTACCATTTTAATAGCTTTGAGACCCTTAAAAATTCCTCATGAATGGTAGCGCTCTGCTTACTAATTAAGAATTGAAAAACTCTTAAAGCATTTTTACTGGAGCTGCTTCTTTCCACTCCCTCTTAGCCCTTGTCTCCTGTTTCTACTGCTTTGTCAGCTCCCTTGTGTTTCTTGAATAAGGAATAAGCAAAGAGACTAAGAAAAAGATCTTTGTGACTTTCCATTGAAGCAGCTTTTCCTGGGAGCGCTTGTTTCTTTCCTTGTCAATCAATTTTGCCTGCCTACCATTTTGACTGTTTTTACTTGCACTCCAGTGCCCACAAGCAAATATTCCCATTAATATAGCCATAATGACTACACCATGCATGTCTGTTGGGCTTTCTCTTGCCAGGCCTCTAACCTCATGTAATTCTCAGATGAAAAAACGCAGGACAGAGAAGTTGAGTAATTTGGCCAGGGTCACAGGCGTAGTAATTTAATGGAGCTGGAAGTTGGACCCAGACAATCAGACTTCAGAAACTGCTTTAATCATTCTTCAGTGGTGACTCTGCAGAGACTCCGGATAACTGTCCATTGTCTTTCTTCATTTGCTTATGTATCATTCATTCATTCGTTCTTGGAAAAGAAGTATAGGAAGAGGTCAGAGAAATAACCTTTCTTTGTGCACTTATAACCTTAGAAAGGATAGAAAGATGATATAATTGCTCACTTGTTGTTGAGTGCTGTCAAGTTGGTTCCAAGTTGGTATAGGGTTTCCTAGGAGTGGCTGGTGAGTTTAAACTGCCAACCTTGCAGTTCAAACCAACCTTGCAGTCTGGTGCATTAACTCGCAGCGCCACACCAGGACTCCTATAATTGCTTAGACCTCCAATGTAATGGCCAGCAGATAAAGAGGAAGTGGGTGAAGCGAGTAGAGGGAGAGAAATCTGTATTACACATTCTTTCTTTCCCCTTCCATGTCTTTTCCTACCTTTCTCCAAAATCGTACGCTTCATATATGGAATTTGAGTTCGTTTCTGCCTCATTGCTAAGTTCAGGTACTTTCCCTGACACCATCATTGCCTCTTATCTTATAACACGCCCATTATGCAGGCTGACATGCAACCTAGGGACAAGTAGCACCTCAAATCTCCAAGCTCTTCCTCATTCCTACCCCTTCATTTCTCTCATGCTACTTACGACTTCAAGTTTACAATTACCTCCCTCCCATTCTGGTGCAGTAGATCATAAAATAGAACATGGAGAATAGATGAACATCACATTGTCAGGAGTGATTTAAATTTATACGTCTCAAGAACATACAGTCTGTTATTCATTCATTTATTTCTGTCTCTGAAATCGCCATAAATTTATTACATGGAAAAGAAACTGGGTGTGAGGGACTGTGGTGTGGGGTTAAAGAGAGGAGTTTTTGAATATGTACTGTAATATATGTGCTAAAATGTGACCTTTTCCTTGCTCTGCAAGGTTTTTTTAAACTAGGGCTATGTCAGGGAGGTATTGAACAGAGTATGAAGTAGAAGTTATATTGGTATGGTATATTATTCTTATCTAATGCATTCCATTTCAAATGATGATTCTCCCAATTAATAGTGATTTGTTTTATTTTTTAATATAATGAATAATCCGTTTAAGGTGAGCCAATTTGGTTAGTCAGTAGCAATGATTGTTTATTGTACATTTACTGTGTCAGCCAATGGTTCCAAAATTAGTAACCATCCTTGAACTCCAGTTAGCATCTCAATCTCAATGTCTCAAACAGAACTCCCAGTTTCGCCCCAAATATGCTGTTACATGTATAGGCCCTATGTTTAGTCTGTGACATTGCTCCAGTCAGTTCCATAAGAAAAACAAAATAAATCATTTTTCATTTTTTGTCTCTAAAGGCTATTTTAAGAATTGTATATGTCCTAGCACTGTTCATTTAGAGGTCCCTTGCTTATATCAGTGGACTCCTGGTGTGGCGCTGTAGGATTAGCACTGGACTGCAAACCACAAGGTTGGTGGTTCAAATTTTATTGCATAAATTGCAGTGAATATTCAGAAACCCTATACAGAGTCCCTCTGTGTCGGAACTGACTCAGCACTTAACAACAACAGCTTATATCAGTGGAGCTCTTGTGGGCTAGTGGGTTATGCATGGGCTACTAACTGCAAGGTCAAAGATTTCCCTTCTTTTTCTTCTCCAAGTCAATTCCTGGACTAGTTTAGTCACTCTGTGACGTGCTTGTCCCCTCTAATGTAGGCTGCCCAGTGATTAATCCTAAAATATTTACTTAACAGTTGATGAAGTGATCTGCCAGGTTGTTGTGTTGAGCAGGGCACAGGGTTTCAAATGGCATCTCCCTTTACCATTGACATCTCTCCTGACCTCTGGGGGCCTTGAATTTTTACAGTGAATCTTTGTGTATAATGGAGGTGCTATTTATTGGAATGTTGTTGTCGTAGTGCCAGTGTTCTGCAGTCATCTTCTCCCACACTCTGTTGTTGTTGGTGGTGTTAAGTGCTTTCAAGTCGCTTCCAAGGAGCAGCTGCTTGGTTTGAACCTCCAACCCGTGGTTCACAGTCCAGTGCTGATCCTGCACCAGGAGTTTGCTTCCACACTTACCTTAAATTCCTGTCCAGGCTTTGTCTAATTTTGCTGCCTTCCTCTTGTTGATATTTTGCTTCAGAAGAAATGATTGGTGCTTAAAGTTTGTTATACAAAGAGGATTCCTATGATAGAGTGTGTAGTTGAAGGTGTGAAGTGCTAGCTCAGGCACTGGATCTCATCTCAAGGTAAACTTGGGTTAGACATTTGTCTCCTAACCACAAGGTCAGCAGTTCAGACTCCACTAGCTGCTCCTAGAAAAAGATGAGACAGTCTGCTTCTGTAAAGATTTATAGTCTCAGAACCCCTTATTGAGCAGATAGCATAGTGGATTATGAACGGGTCTGCTAACTGCAAAGTCAGCAGTTCGAATCTACCAGTCACTCCACAGGAGAAAGATGAGGCTTTCTGCTCTTGTAAAGATTTGCAGCCTAGTAAACGCCTAGGGTTGCTAGGAGTCAGAGCCAACTCAGTTGCACAACCCCTACCACCATCATCTTCTGGTCACTATGAGGCAGAATCAGCTTGACGGCAGCCGGGTGGTGATTCAATTTTTCTGTACTTTGATTTTGGCAATATTTGGATTAATGAAATAATATGGCAAATATCACTTACGAGTAACCTAAACTAATTTTTAAAGTTTTAAAACATTTTTCCTTAAGGTTCTCATAGTCTTAACTAATTCTTTAAAAAAACGTTTTACAAGACGTAGCTTACATTTTTTTTTTTTATTGTAAGAAAAAAATTTATTAGGTTTAGTGTGACAAATGAAAATAGATAGGACTGGCTCATATTCTGTTTTTAAAAAATTATTCTTGAGTCTCCTCATACCACAGTATGCAAGTACTAGCGTACATTTAAAAAAAAAATCCCTTGCCTTTGGCATCCCCTGTGTGTACTGTATGTCCCTCCTCTACTCCAATCTGCTTGCTACCCCCAGTTCTACACAGAGGCTAGCCTAGCCTAATTTTGTGATTGTCATTCTCTTGTTTTTCCTGTAACACTAATGTTTGTATTCCTACACAATGTATTTTGATTTGTTTGTTTTTGAACTTTAAATAAAGAGAAAATGTGACATGTATTCTTTTGCATTTTTTTCTCAACAGTTATTGAGATTTAGTATCTTTGATATAGGACATGTTGTTAAGTGCCTTCGAGTGGATTCTAGCTCGTAGTGACCCTATAAGGTTTCTAAGGCTTATAAATCTTTGTGGGAGCAGAAAACCTCATCTTTCTCTTGAGGAGCAGCTGGTGGGAACTGCAGACCTTGTGCTTTGTAGTCCAGAGCTTATCTTATGGAACCACTGCAGTCCTCTTGATTTAGGACATGACTATAACTGATTTATTTTCGATTCCATATGACAATCCATTAATTAAATATACACTGTAGGATAAGGACTAGACTGTAGTGTCGATTTGAATTGCAAGGTGGTGGTTCAGACCCACCAGCTGCTCTTCGGAAACCCTATACAGAGTCGCTATGTGTCAGAACTGACTCAATGGCACTTAGCAACACTGTATGTCCAGTCTACTCTTGATGGACATCTGGGTGTTTTCTACTTTGGAGCTGTCATAAACAGTCCTGAGAGCTGTATAATTGTGCCCATGTCTCCATTCACTAAGAGGCTTCCTGTCTCAGGGAGACTCGGAGGGAGCGGTCAGGTGGCAGATGTTGAGGGTCAGGCTACATGAGGGCATCAGCTGCATCCATCATAGGGGCTTTTCAGGGTGGGGTGGTGGTATGGGGTGACACTTCAGAGAAATTATTCATCACTGAGAGTCTACTCAGTGAACAATACTGAGCACCTGCCGTATATGTCCTAGGCACTGGGCCAGGCACTGGGGGGTACAGTAGAGAACAAAAGAGACCTCTTGTCCTTGAGGCAAAGTCTTTGCTTTTTAGTAACTCTTTCCAAGAGGCTCCCTAGGCTCCCAGCTTTATATGTATTATAACCCTCAGACGATCTTACGATTTTTTGAACAGTTAATATTTAGCTAGGATATGTGTTTATCCATATATATAGAGTTGTGCTGTGGCACGATAGGATAAGCACTAGACTGCAAGATTTGTTTGAACTGCAAGATTGACAGTTCATACCCATTAGCCACTCCTCAGAAATGCTAGATAGGCTTGCTCTTAGTCGGAACTAATTCTATAGCACCTAACATACTATATATATATATATAAACACACACACACA